GACTGAGGTACTTGTACAGATGATAGAAAATCAGTTACAGGTTATTGCATGTACATTGGTGATTCTTTATTATCTTGGAAATCCAAGAAACAAGATATTGTTTCCCAGAGTTCTGCAGAATCAGAATTCAGAGCCATGGCATTAGCAACTAAGGAGCTAATCTGGTTATCTCGTCTTATGATTGACTTGAAGGTTCCCTTTACTCCTCCTGCTTATCTTTATTGTGATAATACAGCAGCTCTCCACATTGCTAATAATTCTGTATTTCATGAGAGAACAAAGCATGTGGATTTGGATTGTTACAAAATCAGAGAGGAGATAGATTCGGGATTTCTCAAGACAATGTATGTCAAAACAGGATCTCAACTAGCAGATGTGCTTACTAAGCCATTGCATCCAGCTCATTTCCAGGAGCTTATTTCCAAGATGGGAATGTACAACATCTTTGCACTTCCATCTTGAAGGGGGCTATTAACATGTATATTGTAGAGTAGCTTTGTATAGGATTAAAAGGCTCTGGAATGTCTGGTTTATTGTAGTAATTAACAATCCGGTTATTTCCGGTTTAGATGAGATTGTATAGGATAAAGATCTGTAACAAACTCTTTGATTCATTAATAAGAAATCTGAGTATTTTTGGATATGTCTTCTCTCTCGATGACGTTTCCTGATATCTGTCTTTTTTTTTTTTTTTTGGTAGGTAAGTAGAGCTGGTGAAAGTTGTGCTCTTCCATACTCCATGAATTATTTGATTAATGATAAATTTTATTAAATATGAAGTAGGTTTAAAACAATCATATCAATGTTTGAAAAAAATGCGTATGTTGTCGAGTATTTCTAATACAAAATTAAAATTAGTATACACTTACAATAATAATTGTAATAAGTGTTTTTTGGAAGTATGAAAGAAAACATAAAGAAAAAAAATTCAAATGATAATAACCACAGACAAGTAGGTGAGTCAGCCCATTAAGCAAAGCAAGGACAAAACTGGCAAGTATAAATTGTTGCCCTTTTCTTCACCACTCTCTCCTTCCAACACCCCAAAAATCGGAACCAATGACAACGCATACAACGCTTATTTCTCTTCATTTTCCCATTTTACCCTTTTTGTTTTCCGAAATTCTCGTCTAACCCATTTCTCCGCCGCCGTAAACTAACGGAGGAGGAAGGAAGAGAAAACCATGGAATCGTCTCCGGTTAACCGTCTTCCACCGGATTCTCTCCACCAGATCTTCTCGTCTCTTCCTCTCCGTGATATTATGATCTGCAGATCCGTTTGTAAGTTCTTCAACCAGCTTTTGACCTCTCAGTGCTTCATTGAGATTATCTCAACTCGTCCGCCGTTGAATCTACTCGCTCTCCGTCCTCCTCACCACCACCACAGTCACCGCCACAGCGGTAATAATAACGGACACGCGGCGAGTAATCGACCGTACATCCATGTTTACGATCCAGAGCAGGATCAATGGTTCAGATTCAATCTCGATTTCCTCCCTTTCCGATCTCCTCAGCCTGTAGCTTCTTCGAGCGGGTTAATCTATCTTTGGGGAGATTCCATTGATTTAGCTGAATCTAGCAAATCGCTCGTTGCTTGTAATCCGCTAACTCGGCAGTTTAAGGTGTTGCCTCAGCTTGGCTCGGCGTGGTCACGCCATGGAACTGTACTTGTTGATTCAGTTAATCGAGTCATGGTGCTCACCGAGCTCGCTGCGTTGTATTACTCAGGTACTGTGATTGCTAACCAGTGGCTCAAGTTCTCATCGAATTTACCATCGAAACCTAGATCCCCTGTCTTAATGTCTAGCTCGGTTTTCGCCTTGTGCGATGTTGGATCTCCATGGAGAAGTCAATGGAAGCTTTTCTCGTGTAAATTGACTAATCTCACGATCACTCATACCAATTGGGTTTGCTTGGAGAAACATGAATGGGGTGATATATTCGATATCATTAAACGACCACGTTTGTTGCGCGGTAACGGCGATTCTAAGCTTCTGATGATTGGTGGCTTGAAATCGACCTTTTCGTTGAACCCGGCTTGTTCGACCATTCTGATACTTAGGCTGGATTTAGAGAGTTTGGAATGGGAAGAAGCAGGTAGAATGCCTTTAGAAATGTACCGAGGCTTTCAAGAATCGAGTAAGTTCAAAGTTTTTGGAGGTGGTGATAGGGTTTACTTCTCTGCTAAAAGGATGGGGAAGCTTGCAATGTGGGACTGTTGGGAAGGCTGGAGATGGATTGATGGTGTGCCTGGTTATGCTGATGGATTGTGTCGAGGCTTTGTGTTTGATGCGAAGCTTACACTGATGCCATGACCAAAAACAAAAAAAGGTCTGTTTGTGTTCGTCGTGCATTCCATAGGAGTACCCTCTATCTGTCTCTGTTTATGATTATTTGCTGATTTCTATATGATTGTTTATGCTTCTTCTTTGTTGTTGTTGTTGTTAAGCTGTTTCGTTGTATCTCAATGTGCTTTGTTGTGTTTTCTTGTAATCCAAACTTGGTGACACTGTTAAATGGAATGTGCTATATGGTTATAGTCTTGCTTTGAGAGTCAACCTTTGTTATATGATCATCTTTGTTTTGTTACCCCAATACATCTCAGTTTCTCTGTTTCTCCTCAACTCTTGACAACAAGAACTGCTCTCTGGTTTCTTTATTGAGTTTGATCACGATTCTACTATCATCTTTCTAGGAGTAGAAGAATGATCCCTATAGAATCTCTGAAATTCCTGTGCTAATCAATAAAGTAACAGTGGTTCATATAGAGAGAGAATCATTCTCTTGTGATGTCACCAAGCAATTTCTAGCTTGTCCATTGAAACTGATCTCCTTCTTAGTCAATTTCAACACTAATTATGTGTATGTTTGATTTAATTACTTCATACATGATATATGCAAACCAATGATGATATCATTAGCTTGAAACTGAAGGGAGGTGCTTGATGATGCAGATTTGCTCATAACTAATGATATATAAGGTCACGTAAGTCAAAATGGGGCCATATTCTATGCATGTGTCATGAACCATTATGTTCGGTCTTTAGATGATGGAACAAATCATCACAAATGCGTCGACCAAATTGATAATAATTTGGTTAAGACTCTGGTAAGATTATAATTTGGCTTTCAGGGTGTAGACTAGGATTGACGATTTAACTTTCTTTTTTTGGGTTCTGCTTTCAGAATTCAGATGAAACCAAACATTTGTGATGTACATAAGCCCAAATTTTAAAATAAAGTTGACTTGACTAATTTTAAAGATAATGAATGGAAACTGGAAAAAAAGATGAAATAGAGAGGCATAAATCCGAATGTAACATATCATCTACGAAGAAGGCGACAATGTTTTCTTACATAAGTTTTGAGTGTTTACATAAATATATGTGTTCTTACATAGTTACACATACAAGTACTTGGTATGATTATGCTTTTCTCTCTAACCTAACAACTTAGATAATTGCAAGACAACAAGTATGAAGATTGAAGACATTGCCTACTTTTTGTCCGAAATACCTAAGATAATCAATAACGCAGAAATACACCACCACTTGTTCCAACTGAATTATTGAATGCAATTGTAAGCAGAAGATTTTAAGAATAATACAAAAAAAATGATAAAATCCGAAAACAAAATTACAAACAAAGATATTATTAAAAAAGAAAAAAGAGGATGTGTAGTCTCTTTTGCCGTAGCCGAATTACTAACCAAGCATGAAATAAACTAATAATATATATACTTGATTGATTACTGCACAGATTTTTCATAGCCTAATAATATATACTTCATCGAACAACAAGTTTCCTTTTTTCAGCTTCGAAAAAAAAAACAAGTTTCCTTTTACCAACAAACAAAAGATTAGGAAAGACACGTGAGGTCAGAGGTGTATTAGACGGAACGGCATAAGTCAATGGCGATTCTATAAGAGCCGTTGACCTCATCAGGGAAATGTGATATTTATTTATTTTTATTTATATATATTTTTTTTTAATGTGATATTTTTACCGTCAACAAACTCGGTTTTTGTTTGTTTGCTTCTGGTCCAAACTAAGACTTAAAGAGTTAAAAGAGGTTGTACATTTGTACTTGTACTTAACTACTTATACAGCCACACACACACATTGCTCAGAAGTACGACGACTGTTGACCAGTTCCACTATACCTTCTTCTGAATTTTAACCGAAACACGTTTTCAGCTCCTCCGATGAAAAATAAAATGCAAAGTCATCATGTTTACGTAATGACTTAGTAATTCAAATAAACCTGAGATGAACAATGTATAAATAGATTATAATACATATCCCAATTTATGTTTTTCATTTTTATGTTTCTTTTTTTCCCTTTTTGCTTATACGGAAATAAAAATACTAATAATATATGGTTTATTGGGATAGTGGAGCTGAAGATATCAAAAGAAACTTATACTTTATTAATTTAGTTGAACAACCAAACTTTGAAATTGAATAATTTGAAAGCAAAACATGACTTGAACTTACAAACATATGACTGATTTGCATGCATGAAGGGACCACATACTCATCAACATGTTTGATATTTATTAAAATATAACGTATTCAGAAATAAAGAAAAGATATTAAAATGGGAAACTTTCTCTTAATACATATATGTATCCGTTTCAATTCTCTCGTCGACGATCTTCTGTCTTTTATTATATCACCAAACGATTCTTTGTTTTCTTTTGTATCGTCGTCAGACTCCTGCAAGAATATATGATACATGTTAACACACAAAATTCGTAACTGACAAAATTTGGGCCCTAATCCTATATATGTAACTTGGTAAATTTTTGAATTGTGGGACTTTACTTGATTAACATAGATGATTGCTTGTAGCATTCTAAAGTATGATTGGCTGTAGCATTCTAAAGTATGATTGTTTGTAGCATTCTAAAGTATGATAAATATTAATTACCTTTTAAGTAGACGATTAAGTAATCTAGTAGTGAGGAGGAGGCGGAGATTTGTAAAGGTATGGGTGGTGTGGAGGTGAGTAAACTGGAGGGGGAGAGTAATGGACCGGAGGGGGAGAGTAGTGCACCGGTGGTGGTGGGGAGTGATATACGACTGGAGGGGGAGAGTAATGGACAGGAGGAGGAGAATAGTGCACAGGTGGTGGTGGAGAGTGATATACAACGGGAGGAGGAGAGTAGTGAACCGGTGGGGGTGGGGAGTGGTATACTACTGGAGGAGGAGAGTAATGAACTGGTGGGGGTGGAGATTTGTAAACCGGAGGGGGAGAGTAATACTTAACTGGGG